ATCTGACACAACCTAGATGTAATGCACATTGAAAAGAATGTGTTTGACAATCTCTTTCACACCATCATGGACACCCCAAAATCAATGGACAACATAAAAGTAAGGAAAGACATAGAAGAATACTGCAATCAACCGGAGTTGCATATAAGGGAGGAACGGAATAAAATCTTTAAACCAAAAGCTTCCTACACATTGAACAAAGAGCAGGTAGGAAGGGTGTGTGAAGGGTTAAAGAAGCTGAAAGTTCCAGAAGATTATGCTTCTAACATATGTGCATTAGTAAACGTTGAAAATGTTAGTTTCTATGGCTTCAAAAGTCTTGACTATCACGTGTTCATGCAAAGACTACTCCCTCTTTCTATAAAAAAGATGGTATTGACTCTGATATGGGATACTATCATTGAGTTGTGCACATTCTTTCATGCAATATGTTTGACGGTGTTACACATTGATGACTTGCTTCAATTGCAGACAAGTATAGTGGAAACTATCAACAAGATGGAAAAAGTCTTCCTATCGGGATTCTTTGATTCCATGGAACACCTTGTGGTACATTTAAAGTAATAGTAGGAGATCTGGTTCAATATCGATGGATGTATCTTTATGAGGGACGTCTAAGGAGACTAAGAAACAAAGCAAGGGTAGAAGGGTCAATTGTAGAAGCTTATTTGGTTAATGAACTATCTACCTACTGCTCGTTGTATTTTGGAACAACGGTAGAGACACGGCTGAACCGTGAGCCTTCGAATTTTGCCCCTGATTATTCATCTTCGGACCAACTATTAAAGATATTTAAGACTTTATGTCAATGATTATTTGATAAAGACAGAACACGTGTTAATCTATCGGATGAAGATATGCACAAAGCTCACACATACATTTCACTAAATTAAGAAGAATGTTTTTCCGTTCATAGACATCTTCAATATAGAGATAAATGTAGAGAGTCATATATTAATGAAGCGGGGGCTCAACAAACGTAGAGGTGAACTTTCCTGGATGGTTTCATACCCATGTAAGTGTATGCATAAATTCATCATTATTTATGTGTACTTAATAAAATATTACAAATGACATGATTATAGGTTATGTCTCGGTCGGACCTCGCTTCCGATCATGTGAGGATTTTGGCATACAAACAGATATGTGCAGTTTGGAGACACCCGAGGTTATTTGTAAACGGTTACAAGTTCCACACGCTAGCTCACGGTAGAAATCGCACCACACATAATAGTAGAGTATGCGTGAGAGGGTCTTGTTACTCAAATTAATAGGTTGACTACTATGGATTGTTGGATGAAGTCCTAGATATAAAATATCATAGGTATAAACTCGGCCGCGGTGTTGTCCATATATTCAGATGCATATGGTTTGATACGGTTAACGACGTCCGAGTACCTAAAACATAATCTCGTGGATGTCAAACACAGATTAAGACTTCGTTCAAATGACCCATTTATCTTAGCATCACAAGCTGAACAAGTCTATTATGTACCATATCCATCGAACTCATTAAAATATTGGTGGTATGTGGTGATGACAAAGCCAAGAGGAGTCTATGACATTGCATCGAGTACACCTGAAATCCTATCAGATGAAAATTTGAGCGAGGAACAGTTTTTCCAGGAAAATGATAGAATAACCCAAGCTGGGGGAAATGAATATGTGCAAGAACCCATCCATCTTGTTGCAGGGGAAGCGACATCGAAGTTGCCAATGATTGTCGTGACAACTGGTATATTGATGAGAGTAGTGACGAATAAGAGGGGTTCCAAGACTCGGATAGTGACTCTGATGATGAAGAACTTGACTTGTCGGATCACTCATCAGATGATTAAATACTATGTTAAATTTAGTCTTAGTAAATTTTGTCTAGTAGTTTTAAATCTTTATTGTTTCATTGTTTTAAATCTTAGTAAACTATTGTTCGACATCTGTTATTGTGTGGAATCTAACATTGTGTTGTGTTCTTGAATTATAGTTGTATGTTTTATAACGTTGCTTTGTAAAAAAATCGACAATGCCGCGTACTCGGATTACCGATCGAAATAGTGGCAGTACGCCCCCTAGCCACGGTACGGGAAGAGCCTCTAGTGGTGCTTCGGCACATCGGAGAAGCTAGAGTCTGGCCGTAGAGAGCTGCTCCGGAGCCGCTTCCACAACATAGGACAGTTATTGGCATCTGCAACAAAGAGTAAATACATTTATATCTTTTAATTCATAAAAATAATTGTTCTTTGTATTGATGCTAATTTAATTCATTATATAACTTTAGTGACACCAGAGTTAGCTGTCGGATTACCAAGATAAACCGAGAGCTGCTTGACGGGTCATGGATCACTTGAGACGTGAAGCGTCGAATGTGGGAGTGGTTCCAGATTCGTAGTATATATTCAACTTGTTATATTTTTCTACATTTTTAACCTAAGAATCGACTAAACTTTTACGTACAGTGCTACTACACTTGGGATCCGGCTTTGGACGCCCAGATTCAAGAGACATGGGAGAGAAAGACGGTAAAGCCATATATAGACAATTTTAGTGCCGCGAGGATGAAATCTGGAGAAAAAGCAAAGAGGAATGGGTATCCTTACTACGATGAAACCGACCCACACCGGGATATGAGTGTGTTGAAGAACTTCCCCCAGTTGGATCTCTTCAGATGTGTGGAGTCAGATGGTCGATTGTTGGAACAATGACAATTGGAAGGTTGTTTCTGGGGTGGCGCGTGAGAACCATGATAGCCAAGTTGCGCTACACACCGGTCGATCTATCCCATTTTCATAGCATGGTGCTCGCTTGGTAGGACCTAAAACCCATTACTTTAGTAGCTTGATTTTTAATATGTTATAATTAACATATGTTTGTATTATTTGACCTTTATAGACACACAGAAAAGATGGCGTGTCACCGACTGTTGTGGAATTGTTCGATTATACACATAAGAAGAGGTCGAGTGGAGAGGCCGCATCATCGGATTCTGGCGGGTACGTGACCTCTAAGTGTATCCAAGTCATGATAAATATCTATCTATTTTGATATTCATAATTGGGTACGTAACTATCTATCTAGTTTGGGTTGCCATTAATTGTTGTGTAAAAGTTTGAGTCGTTTAAATTAAAATCTAAATGAATGTGTGTGTGTGTGTGTGTATATATATCTTGTTTGGGTTGCCATCTATTGGACAAACATTATGATTGTTTAATTTAGAAATTCCATATGTATCATTATTTAGTTTGGGTTGCCATTTGTTGCTCAAATGTTTGGATAGTTTTGGCTAAAAATTTCGTACGTATCACAATTTAGTTTTGGTTGCCATTTGTTGGGCAAATATTAGGATTGTTTTGGATGGAAACGTCTCATTTACAGTCGTAATGCTATCGAAATTGACTTGTAATCTTTTTTAAACCATATGATGACTATTCAATGAGTCTCACCCAAAGATACGACAATGATCCCTCCACTTATCCCTTAGTTGATACATAGTTATGGGAGCAGGCGGTTGGAGGAAGCAAGAAAGGTCATCTATTTGGGTTTGGATATAACCAGGATCCCAATTGGGTCTTGACTGGGAACTCCACACAAGCTGGTCCATCGTTTTCAGATACACTACAAGAGGAATGAACTTTAGAGAAGAAATTTTTAGAGAAGCTTTTAGAAGTGTATCTAAAGCTACATTATAGAGAATGATTTAAATGACAAAAATGAGAAATGTAACTAAAGGTTGGACGACATTTAAAGAAGGATTTACAGGCTAATTATACGTTATAAGAAATGTCGTTAAAAGTTTTAGAGAAGCTTTTATAAAAAAAATGTCTCTAAAGAGTTTAATCAATTTTTAGAAATACTTTCTTAAGCTTCTCTAAAGATTAAGAAAAATTTTTAAATTTTTAAAATTAAATAAAAATGTTTAGTTACTTTTTAAAAGTGTATCTAAAATATTTATATTAAAAATAAATCAAAATTAAATATATAATATATTAAATAAGCAAACACTACAACAAAAAGAGGTTTATAGAACACTTTTTTGTGACACTTTTCGAAAACTGTCCTTTAAAAAAGCTAATACGATACATTAGTTAAATAATGTGTAGTTAAAAGTTTTAGAGAAGCTTTTATAAAAATATGTCTCTAAAAAGTTTCATCAATTTTTAAAAACACTTTCTTAAGCTTCTTTAAAGATTAAGAAAAAATTTAAATTTTTTGAAATTAAATAAAAATGTTTAGTTACTTTTTAAAAGTGTATCTAAAACGTTTATGTTAAAAATAAACAAAATTAAATATATAATATATTAAATAAGCAAAGGAATTGTAAAGGGTTTTCTCACAACAACAAAAACAAGTTTATAGGACACTTTTTTAGGACACTTTTCAAGATCCGTCCTTTAAAAAGGTCTAATACAACACATTATTTCACGAGTCTTATTTGATTTAATTTAATAGGACTCTTATTTTTTATGTCTTATTAAGCTCTCTTTAGTGTCCTATCATGTAAGTCTAATACGACACTTTTCAATGTCATATTATTTTAGAGGCAAATAGGATACTTTTTAAGTGTTATATTATTTAAAAGACTAATAGGACATTTTAAAGTGTCATATTATTTTAAAAATTAATAGGACATTTTAAAGTGTCATGTTAATTTTAAAAGTTAACAAAATATTTTTGATTGTTGTATTAGTGTTTAAAAGCTAATAGGACACTTTTAAATGTCCTATTAGAGTTTGAAATGATATAAATAACATATTATATTTAGAACCATTTTTAATATCAAATTTAGGCCCAAATATGAAAAGCCTGTTAATATATAATCCTAAGCCCATTTTTGCAAACCCAAAGACTGTTAATATTCAAAGGTTAATATTATAATTTTAAAACACATGAAATATTAAATTAAAGCCCATGAAAGCCCCGGCCCGTTAACTCCTACTTTACCATTCCCCCTTCACTACTTCCTTCACTGGACTCCATGGAAGAAGCTACGATCGACTCACCTGCACGAAGCTACGATCGACTCACCTGCACGAAGCTACGATCGATGCTCCCCTGTAACTACGTACGAAGCTACGATCGGTAATTTTGAAGGAACTCAGGAAGTTGATCGACTCCTCCTTCTCCCTCACTGTTTGCAATCGATCGACTCTACCCTGAAATCTCAAAGCATCAGACGACGATCCTTCTGCTTATAGGTAACATTTTCATTGACTACAATTTGTTTAATCTCTTAGTCTCGATACGAATTCTGTGACAATTTAACTTAGAGATGATTTCTGTTTGGTAAAAAAGTTAATCGGCTCTGAATCGTTTGATAAATTTTGTATTCTTTTGTTAGAAAGGGGCAGTATATTAGATGCACTCACCTCTTCAAAGGTAAAGAGGCTAATAGACGCAGTAAGTGACGAAAACTTGATAGCATGTATAACAGAAAGAAGATCTTTTGCATCAAATTGGTAAACAGTATACAAGCCAAATTTAGGTTTGGCCTCAAAAGTTAATTTGGAACTTAGGAGCTGATTGTTTCTCTTTAAATGTTAATTTAAGATTCTGTTTTGTATATATATATGTGTGTGTGGACATGATAATTTAAGATTCTGTTTTGTTTTCTATAGGAACCAAGTCTCTGGGAATATCATATTTTAGAAATGCGTATATAGAGAGAGAATTTTAGTTTAGAAAAGTGGAAACTTGTGTTATTGTTTTGGTATAATAATGTCAAAAATGATATGAAGCCAAATTATCCCCTTGGTTACATGAGTTTGTTCTCTGGGCCTTTGTTTGTTCCATCACTTGTTCTTTTTTACCATCGTGATCATCCTCCTCGTCTTCCTTGGCATTCTTTTAATCACATTCTATCTTTACCTATCTATTGTTTGGGCTTTAGCAGTGGTTCTGTCTGTGGTTGAGAATAGTTATGGGATTTCAGCACTTGGGAAAGCTCGAGAGCTTGTGAAGGGCAATAGGGTAGATGGATTTTTTCTGAATTTGTTTATGGTTCTTGTGTCGCTGGTTTTTATTCCGTTTCAATTGAAATTGTCATCTTTAATGCACATTGTTTTTGTGGTGAGCCAATCTGTTTTCACTTGCATAGTGAGCATCTTTCAGTCCATGGCAAATATACCACTAGATACCGATTGCATAGTGAGCATCTTTCAATCCATGCCAATCTGAATTTCTATTTCCAGTGTAAGAATCACATGAAGAAATCAGAGGGTTTTGAATCACCAAATACCGATTGCAGTTGTTCTGGATGAAAATATACCATAATCAACTTATGCTTCTCTTGTCTTGTTGTTTTTATGTTCAAATAACCAATGATGTATAATTAATTTTCAATACTTTTCTCAGATGTTGAACATAGTATATGTTGCACCTGTTTTTTGCTATCATATAATACTAGAAAGTTAAACTGCAATACCAACACTAAAGACTTTTATTCTAAACTTGTGGGTTCATCATTGGCTCTCCACCTATCAAATAAATAGGACCTATATGCAAAGAACACATGATGGCCAAATTAAGCCAATTGAACCTAAGTGTATTTTGCCATCTAACAGTAGCAAAAAGACATGCAGGCTAAGTTGTGCTCATACCTCCATCTAGTGATACAGGTATATCCATAAACTAAGGCAAGGAACATGAATTGTGAGTAGTTTAGAATAAAAACAGGTGCAACATTTGAAACCTACTGTTTGAAACATATTTTTATCTTTGTTATTGCTAAAATCATATTTTGTTTCTGTAGGCTATGTCAAGGAAAAATTMTGAGAATAGGGGGAAGCGAAAGTATGTTGCTTTAAACGGTACAGTGAGTACTCCGAATCACCATTTTCGAAATAGAGGATTGTCTGACAATTCTCTTATCGGTGAGATAGAGACTTTTTGAAAGTTGCATTATAGAGAAAAAGATGGTTGGGTTAATAACTATTCTCGCACTTCATATGTAAGTTACGTTTAACGAATTCTTTTGCATGTCTTCATCGTTTTATAAATCACTAAGATTTATATATGTGATTTTTATGTTCATAAGAGAACATGATAGAGATTAAGCGGCAAAGTGAATCAACGTAAAATCCCTCGGGTGATCTAGAGATTATGCAACAAGTCTTAGGTAAAAGACCTGCATATATTAATCTTATATGACTCTTAATTTTGATATCTTATTAACATATCTTGACGTCCCATCATGTAATCTAATACGACACTTTTGAATGTTATATCAGCTCCATCATCAAGAAGGTTTTCCAACTTAAATTGTTCCTCTTCCCCCACAAAGAAAACGAGCCCAGATCGTCTTCCGACCTCCGGCTCCTGCTGCTGCTTTACTTCCTTCACCAGAGAATCAGTTTTAGATGGAAACTGAAGATTTTAGAAATCTTTGAGGTAAAGGTTGTTTCTCACCCAACTAACTGCCGTTGCTTGTGTAAGGGTTGGTCTGAAGCCTGCAACATATAGAAGTGACTGCAAAGGAAGAAGGAATAAAAGGAAGAAGCTGAATGATAGGCTCTTTGCACTTAGGGCAGTGGTCCCTAATATTAGTAAGGTATGATTTACTCCATATAATGCATTTTTTTTTGCAATTCGTCCATGTTATCGTAAATAACACTTCCACTGATCCAGGTCTTACTGCCTAAGAATAGCAGTATCATGGGGATGGCTTTCTGTATTAGAGAAGAGAATTTTTGAAAAAGTTTGATGAAATGAAGGTTGGTCTAGCAAGGGAATTCAAGGCAGAAAATAAGAAGGTAAGGGTTGAGTTGAAAAAGTTCAAGACAGAGGTTGCTCATTCGACAACAAGTTAATAAACAAACCTACAGTATACACATCTACAGAGAAGCCACTGTTCTTCWTACTTTCAAGAAACTGAATCGCCTTTGATGTTCTTCATACCGTTCTTCTTGCTATTTCATCTGTCTTTAAACAATCGATATTCTCGTATGATTGAAGCACGTATGATGATCATTGAATGATTTCTATCAATTTGTTGATTAATGCAATTTTATGTTTTTTTCTAAATGATTTCTATCAATTTGTTAATTAATGTTTCAGGTACGGGAGGAAATGTCGATAGAAAGACTAAGATATTTGGAAGCCACTGTATGCTAATTTCTTTTTAACTTACATTTGTATGCTTGATTTTTACCAACTAGGGTTTACTTTTTAATCTAGTATTGTATTCAGCCTCATGATATGCAATGTCATAATTGGATTATGTTATGTTTTTGTTTATTAGTCTAGTGATTTACGATGCAGGCAATTTACTATGAAGCAATTGGCATGGTTGAAGATTACCAACAGGCTGTTTTAGTGGCCAATCTTGGAGGCATTCGAGAGACACATGGTCTACACTCCAATCTTGGCCTCAAGAATTCTCCTCAGGTCTAATTATAAATGTTTTAGGTTTCAATTTATCTAGTTTTACATATTTTGTTCTTAGTTTCATCATATTTGATGCAAACAAAATGTTATTATCATTTCGAGGTGGATATGCGAGGAATCTAAGAACTAGAAAGAGAGATGTCAAGTTTTTGAATTGTGATTGACCTGATATATCTAATTCTGATGCCACTATTGACATTTTGCTTGTATAACACTTTCAATAAAAGTAAACCATCATTTGTAGCTCCTAAAAGTTTGATTTTTGCTCCCCTCATCCAAACAAAGATTTTGTCCCTTCCAAAGAATATGTAAAAATGAACTTGGTAATATATTGGTGACTGATTGCTAACTCACTGTTTTGGTTTTGGTGTTGTATGTTACATAAAGTTCTTTGAATTGGAACATAAATGGCATCATTTGTCAACCATTCTGCCACTGCATTTGGTATTTTTTAAGTTATGAGTGGTGATGGTAAGGTGTTGCTTTCTTGATTGATTTATTGTAATGGGTATTTGGGTGTTGCAAGTGACATGCTGTAGCATGTAATCAAGACCTATATGCTGAGGTTTTCCTATTAAATTTATGCCTAGCTTAAAGCCTAGTGTATACATAAGCTTATGGCATAAGATGCATGAATTTGTGCAATGAGTAACACTATTTTGAGTCAGTTTGGATCATGGTATCTATTGGTGTTTGCATGGAGTAACTGTTGTAGTGGGTCTCCAAAAAAAAAAGTATGGATATTTTTCTACTATTAAGAACTCACATTAACTCAAAGCAAGTTGTACTCAGCATGCTTTTTGATATTTCCTGAATGCATAACTTAAAATTCAATGATATACTTTGTCGATGAAATTGGACCTTCTCCTTCTGCTCAAAGTGTACTTTGTGAGGCTTAAAATGGAGAACATTAAACTTAAAATTGAATTTAAAATTTTAAATATTCAGTTTTCTAATGAAATGTTCTGATGGCTTATTGACTTGTTGCAGACAAAGAGGCAAATTCGCACTGTTTGCAGTTCACAAGAAATTGTTGCATTATTGCTATCACCTTTACAAACACCTTGTAATTAGAAGGGGCTTTCGTTGTCTATGCCAAGTAACAAATGTTGTTCTACTATAATATAAGAAAAAAGTTAGAAAATAGATGGGAAGTGATAGGTTGAGCATCAAGTTTTCTGAGAAGTTCGGGAGGATGTTAAAAAAATGGATGTATGGATTGATTGAATGTTAGAGATTGTTTTGAAAAATTCTTGTCTTTTATATGGTAAATGTATGAAATTTATTGCTTTGAGATTTTATGTTGTTTTTGTTGATTGATATTATTATTTATAATATATAATTATATATAAATACAGGGCTGAAATATGGTTGAAAGAAAATAATATGCTCTTTAGAGAAGGAATCGATGTTTTAAAAGTGCATCTAAAGATAACCTTTAKAGAAAGTTTTGATTATTTGTATCTAAAGATAACCTTTAGAGAAGGTTTTCAAAGTAGTAAAATGTACTAAAGACAATACCTTTAGAGAAGTTTTTTTGTAAACCTTCTCTAAAAGTATTTTTTAGAAACGTTTCTAAACCGTCACAGATACTTGAAAAACGTCACTAATAAATATTTTTAGAGAAGTTTTTTTGTAAACCTTCTCTGAAAGTAGTTTTTAGAGACGTTCTAAACCGTCACAAATACTTGAAAAATGTCACTAATAAATACTTTTAGAGAAGCTTTTTGAAAAAAGTTGACTCACCTTTAGAAAAGTTTTGAAAGTGTATCTAAAGCCCCCAAAAAAATGTCTGTAAAAGCTAACAAAAGCGCACCCTCCGAAAACCCTCCCTAAAACCTTTACCTACCGTTATATAGAGAAGCATTGTGACGGAATTGAAAAGCTTCTCTAAAACCTTTAGAGAAGCTTTTAATACTTTTAAGTTCAAAACAAAACATTCTCTAAAACCCTTTTATCTGGTAGTGATAGTCGGGTGTGTGTCTTTTCGTTTGATGATGTTTATCGACTTAGCTTATAATTCATATTAAATATTATAATGTTTTCTTTATTTTATAGGAAATTGACGCCTTAAGGATCCAACTTAGAGAGTTTGTCCTCGCCAATGGACCAACAACCTTAGCTGTTCTCTCAACTCCCGGTCCGATTAAAAGAAAGAAAGACTTTAAGGAGTCACTTTCATACAATCTTAATTTACAGGAAGAAAACGACCGCCGACGGACGGATGAGGAGCTTTGACGGGTGGAGGAGGAGTTTTGGCGGGCGGATGAGGAGCGATGTCGGGTGTTGGATGAGAGAAGGGAGAAACAATATGAAGAGATGGTTGTTTTGGTCAAGCTGCTCAGTCAATTTCAGCAATTCCCGCCGCCACAATAATGAATATCTGTTTGCTTTGAAACAATTTAATTTTTGTTTAGAACAATTGTTTGCAACTTTGGTCGGGATAATTTTATTGGACATTTCTTGTTTTCTTGTTTAATGTATGATGTTTAGCGGCATTTTATCTTTTTAGCACTTTTTTAATATTTATAGGATTTATAGGTTTTAAATACATGTTTTAAATATTTACAGGAAACGTATTTTCTGGAGCTGGGTGATTAATTTTTTGACCGATAAATCCGCCGGAAATACTTAAAAATTAAAATTAATAATTTTAAAAATTAAAATTAAATATCCGGCGGAGACATCACCGGTGAATTTTCGGCAGACACTTCTACCGGTAATTTTATTCAAAATATTTTGATCTTATTAATAATTTCTTAATTTAATTAAGATTTTTTAAGTAAACTAAAAAAAAGTAGTTAATTTCCGGCAGCTATTTTCTGCCGGAAAACCAAGAATCCGTCAGTAAATCCGTCCGATAAAAATCATCGGCATCTCATGTTCCAGAGACCAAATCTGCTAGAAACTTTGTAATCTGGCTGATTTCAAAAGGTGAGCAGTTTGGTATTTTGAGAGAAAGGAAACTCTCAAGATTTTGGGTCCAACCCACTTGGGAGTTTAACCTATTTTTCTTCTATATATTCAATCATATGTAACTGTAAACCCTAACCGTCATATCAATAAAAGTTTTACTAGTGTGGCCATGGATTAGTTTGATCAAACCGATCAAGTGAACCATGTAAATTCGTGTGTATTTTTACTTTCTCTTTTTTCTGTTGTTACTTTATCGTCGCCGTATTCGTGTGAGTGATCTTGAGCATCGTTTCGCAACATAAAGGTGATCAAAAGTCCAGATTCCTTCTTATGATTCTCGCCTTAACTCTCTTCACACAATCATTAGCATGTCAAATCAACTGTCCAAGTTACTCAACACACCATGTAAACCTAGAAATAATACGCAACTATAAGAAGAACGACAAGATGGCAATATACATTCATCGTGAATAATCTCAATAAAGGAAGTAGACATACGTTTTGAGTTTGATTCACATATGATATTATGGTTATACAGTTTTATGAGAATGCGATAGTTATTTTATAATTAACTTGATATATTTAAGAGTGGATTGGTTTGTTACTCTGACATGACTCATAATATAAATATAAATATATGTGCATTTCAGGAATCTATGTTAACGATGTCAATCCTGGTGTCCATTCATGCATGCTTTTTACGTGTGGTTGTTTTGTAATTGAGTATTGAGGTTGTATGTAAGTTGCATATTATTTATATTAAAGAAATTAGTAATTAATAGAAATCAAATATTTAAAATTTATACATTAAATGAAATTCAAACATCTTCGTCAACATTAAGATGGTGGCTCCACCTCCTAATATCTACCACATGCAATTTGCATGGCAACTTGAGTTCGAAGACTTGCCACTTCAAATGGTCTCATCAGTTTCTAACATTCAATGTGCTGGACAACTATATATATAATTGGCTACACATATATTATATGATATTATAAATATAATAATTGGCTACACTTATATATTATATCATATTTTATATAAAAATATATAATTGGCTACACTTATATATTGTATTATACAATATATATATATATATATATATATATAATTGGCTACACTTCTATATATAAATAGATAGATAGGGTTGTGCCGGTGAAAATAATAGTTAATATGAGAAACTTAATAAATGATCCCCGTTCTTGGATGCACATTCGGATGAGGTGCACCGAAATGCACCAGATGAATCCTTGTATCAAGTGTGATTCATGTGTGAGTTTGAGATTAAAAGTTATTAAGAATCCAAATCTCTTCTTACATTTCAACTTAACTCTCTTTCTCACACGATATTTCATATATATATATATATATATATATAGAGAGAGAGAGAGAGAGAGAGATAGATAGATAGATAGAACACTCTTGTTTTGTAAAAATGCGGTAACACTTTTAGGCCTTCAGATTATTTAGGCCATAATAAAAATAAAATAAATGTAAATAAATCATTAAGAGTACTAATATAATTATGTATTTTTCAATAACTTTATGTTATTTTAATGATTTTATCGTTGGTGCGATTGCTAAATCTGCACAATTTCCCCAAAAAAATAAAGAATATTGATTATATTTACTTTGTTCGGAACCGTACTTGAGAGTTTCCTACCTCATACGGACCTCAAAATAACAGGGGTCAAGGTCGAGAATTAAATCCGGATTCTTAGTATCATCGAAAACTTCTTATATCGATGCTTCTATTGTTGATAATGTTGTGAGTTTGCTATAATAATGCTTTCATAAATCAAAAACTTCTTATAATTAAGGTGATTTTTTTTAATGTTGTGATAATGATGTCATTTTGTAGCAATAATGATATCATTTTGTTGTAATGATAACGTAATAAATCAAAAACCAGTAATAATCACGTTCACAATCATCAAATCTATCTTTTGATTATGTGATTTGGAGTTTCTTTTTTCATTTTACCTCTACGTACTTTCGTTATTGCAAAAAAGGGTAAATATTTATTAATATTTTATAGCTCCATCAATTTAGTGGTCACTTAAAACATAATGGAGGAATGGAGGTTTTACAGGTGGCCATGCATTTGTGTAAATCATGAGAGAGAGGGGGAGAGAGGGAGGTTAAGGAAAAAAAAAAAAAAACTAAGGATCAGCTTGGTAACCATTCATCTGGATTGTATGTACATGTGCATATAAATAATTAAAGTTGTTT